GGTGAGCCCCTGAGCCGGGACCCCCTTTCTTTGTCTTGCCGCCTCCCTGCCTCCCAGCCCAGCTCTGCTAGAGGGGTCTCAGGTTGTCCTGCAGGCTGGCTACCCACCTCGGGCCCTGCAACCCTTTGTCCAGCCCACCTTGTTGTATCAGAGCCTGAAGGAGGGAGCCCAGGCGATCCAGGAGGAGGCCCAGGCCATCCAGGATGAAGTGAAGGCCTTGCGGGAGGAAACCCAGGCCCTGCTGAAGGTGGCTCTGCTCAGGTGTGTGGGCAGCCGTAGGGCAGGGAGGGAGGAGGCGGCTGCCCCAGGCTGCTCACTTGAGCTGTCTCTGCCTGCAGTGACCCAAACCCTGAGAAGGCAGATCTCTTCATGCTGCCTGACCTGCCCCACGACCACAGGGACCAGGGTCAGGCCTGGCTGGACCCCAGGCCAGAGGTCGGACACCTCTTCGGGAGGCCCCTCCATCAGCCAGCTCCTCCCTAGATCCCGGCAATAAACTTGGAAGCTGAACTTCAGCTCCACCACCTGTCTGTGGGTCCTGGGCCTCAGATGGGGAGCAGGAGATCACCAAGTCGGCACTGAGCTCAGCCCCTCAGCCACCCTCTGACATTACTTCCACTCCCTCAGTTCACCCATCCTGGATCTACCCACTCCCCAACATGGCCCTGCCCTCCCCGCCACCCTTCACAGACGGTTCCAGGGCTGGTTTTTGTCAGCCTTGAGATGAGAGCTCAAGGGTGATGTTCCTTGCCCTCCATAAGCACTGGGGCGGGGCTGGAAAGGGGCCACAGCCGCTCCCCAGAGGATCCAGGCACTTTGCTCTAACTCCAAAGTGCAGAAGAATACTGGGGTGGGGGTGGGGGAGGGATGGGGGAAGGTAACCATCTGGTTACCTTGGAAAAGCCCCTTCCCCTTCGTAAGTCATGGGGTTGGGGGCAAGAGAGAGGTGGTGGCAACTCCTCAAGGGCCGGAATCCTACACCCCTTAGGCCTAGAGATACAGATCAATTTTGAGTTTCACCCCCCACCCAGGAGCCCTCTGGCCCCAGGACCCCTGGGAGCCCCCAACCCCTCTCCACCAATGGGGCTACAAAAAAGAAGAACACAGAAAACTGACACATACATAGTCAAGGGGAGAAAGGAATCTTTTTTTTTCCTTTATTATTATTATTTTTTATTTTCCTTTTTGCTATTTTTTATTTTCCTCTTTTTTTCTTTAGTTTTTTTTTTTTTCTTTTGAATCACATTAAATGGAAAAGGAAGGAATCTTGATAGAAGATTGCTAAATTACATACAAAAGTGGTTAATATTCTATAGGGCATTTATTTTTTAAATCCCATAACCTGGGCTGAGCATAGTGGCTCACACCTGTAATCCCAGCATTTTGGGAGGCTAAGGTGGGCGGATCACCTGAGGTCAGGAGTTCGAGACCAGCATGGCCAACATCGCGAAACCTGGTCTCTATTAAAAATATAAAAAGTAGCCAGGTGTGGTGGCGTGGGCCTATAATCCCAGCTATTTGGGAGGCTGAGGCACGAGAATCACTTGAATCCAGGGGCGGAGGTTTCAGTGCACCAAGATGACACCACTGCACTCCGGCCTGGGTAACAGAGCGAGACTCGGTCTCCAAAAAAAAAATTAGGTGGGTGTAGTGGCAAATGCCTGTAATCCAGCTACTCAGGAGGCTGAGGCAGAAAAATCACTTGAATCCAGGAGGCGGAGGTTGTGGTGAGTGGAGATCACACCATTGCACGCCAGTCTGGGTGACAAGAGCAAAACTCTGTCTCAAAAAAAGGAGGCTGGGCGCGGTGGCTCACACCTGTAATTGCAGCACTTTGGGAGGCTGAGGCAGGTGGATCACGAGGTCAAGAGATCGAGACCATCCTGGCCAACATGGTGAAAGCCCGTCTCTACTAAAAATACAAAAATTAGCTGGGCATGGTGGCGCGCGCCTATACTCCCAGCTACTCGGGAGGCTGAGGCAGGAGAATTGCTTGAACCCAGGAGGCGGAGGTTTCATTGAGCCGAGATCGTGCCACTGCGCTCCAGCCTGGCGCCTGACGATGGAGCAAGACTCTGTCAAAAAAAAAAAAAAAAAAAAAAAAGTGTAGCCTGTAGGAGGAGGAGGTGTGAGGAGGAAGATTGGGAACTAAGCTTTGGGTATGCTAAGTCTGAAATGCCTTTTGATCACCCAAGTGTGAATGTAAATTGGGCAGCTGGAAATACAAGAGTTCAGGGGAAAGGTTTGTATGGGAGACATATACTTGTGGCTTTCTGGTTTATATTTGGTCATTTGTATTGGTTCTCTATTTTGCTGTGTTACAAATTACTCCAAAACCCAGCAGCCTAAAACCATAAACATGTGTTTTCTCACACAGTGTCCACAGGTTAGGAATTTCAAAGTGGCTTGGTTCGGTGGTACTGGCTTAGGGTGTCTCGTGAGGCTGCAGTCAAGATTCCAGCAGGGGCTGCCGTATTCTGAAGGCTTGGCTGGTGTTGGAGGACCCATTTCCATGGTGGCTTATTCACAGGGCTAGCAAGTTGGTGCTGAGTGTTGGCAGGAGGCTTCAGCGCCTCACCATGAGGCCTGTCCATAGTGTTTCTTGAGTGTCCTCACAACATGGCGTCTGGGAGGCCACGTGGCTCTGCAAGCACATCCAGGGGCAAGAGTGCAGGTATAGAGGAGGCAGAGAGTGAGTCAGATGTAACCAGGATGGGGTTTTCCCAGTGGATGTGAGCAAAGCAGAGAGGATCGGGGGTTGAGAGGGCTTCCATGGCTCCAACTGGGCAAGGTGAGTACATGTGGGAGGCGAAGGAGGGTGGAACCAAGGTGAGTGTGTGGGGCAGGTGGAGAGTGGGAGGGAGTCAGCAGCAGTGCATTGCTGGTCCTGGAGGATTAAAGACCCCTTGGAGCCAGAGCCATTGGGGGAATAAGGTGGGAAAATGAAAGGTGGTCACATGCCCTAACTACCTTAAGTGATTTCCAGCAACTCCCACAATCCAGAATATTCTGGGAGGGGCCATACCACCCATCCAGCAAAGATGGAGGAAGAAAATTAACCAAGTTAATGTCTGGTGCCTACAGCCATGTAGACACCATGGATTCCAACAGCCTGACTGGATCTCTTGGGTGTCACACACACAGCTGTTTGCACACTCTCTGACACAAACCACTCTCACAGGTGTCATCCACTTAGATGTCACACACTCTTGTCCAGGCGTTCTGTTAGTGTTGTTACATGATCGAGGGGTTAACTCCTTCCAGGAATGGTTGGGGAAGGACCATGGGGTTGCTGCTTCAGTCCTTCAACTCATCAGCTGACCTTGGCGTCCCACTTTCCACCTGGTGGTGACTGTCCTGTGTCCTCATAAGGAAGGTTTATGCTCCCTGCACTGATGGGCTTCTGATAAGATCCAAGGTCATATTCTGGGCGTCGATAATCACCTTGCCAAGAACTGTGGCTTCCTGGTGCACCTCCCAGAAGTCACTGATCACACGACACCCCCTCCCAGCCACCCCAGTCCTCCCATGCTGACCCTCCTGACCAGCAGCACAAGAGATGGTGGTGCCGGCAAAATGGGGTTGTGAGCAGTAGGAGGCTGCTCTGAGATGGGGCTGTGAAATCACACACACACACACACACACACACACACACACACACTCACACACACTCACTCTGCCCTGGCCCAGCCCCCAAGCTCTGCAGGCATCTTTGAGCCCATCCATGGGCTGCATCTGGCCAGGCAGGGTCAAGGCAGGACAGGCCATGAGAGGGTGGGAGAAGTCCCAGCTCAAGACCTAGGGGCCCTCCCAGCCCTGCCTGGCTCTCTGTGAGATCTGGAAGAGGCTCAGTATGTGTATGGCATACTTGGGGTCTCATTGCCCTCTCTGCCCTTGCACATACTGGAATACCTTCTCAGCCTTGGAGGACCCCCTCAAATGTTCCCTCCTAGACGGAATTCCTCACTCTCTCACTGGGAGCGTGGTGGTCCTCCCTCTACAGGGCACTCGCCACATGGCTGAGCCTGGAGTCTGTCTGCCTCGCCTGCTGGACTTTGCTTCCCCACAGCTTTCCATGGCTCTAGCGTAGTGCAGAATGAATAAACAGTGCTTGCATGTATAGGGAAGGAGTGAATAGGTGGATGGAGGGAATGGGTGGATGGACAAATAGGAGAGTGGATGACGGAGTCCAGGCAGGGCCAGGGAATGGAAGAGGAGTCACCTTGCTAAGGAAGCATGGGCTTCCCTGGCTGCGTCCTCTGGGACAGCTTCCCTTCCCAGGACTCCCACTCCTCGCATAGCTGGGCCCCTTTCAGGATAGATGCAGAGAATTCTTCTGGGTCCCCCTTCTTCCTTTGGCTCTAGGCCTTATGTCTTAGGGGGTCAGATGAAGGATGAGTAGCTAAAATGAATGAGCTCCCGCTACATGCCAGCCACTGCTCCAGCCATGTCTATAGATGCCATCTTGTTGAATGAAAATGGCGCCACAGGGTTGTGAAGCAGGTTTTATCATCCCCACCATGCAGCTGAGAAAACAGAGAGAAGCTGAGTGAATTGCCCAAGGTCACACAGCTTACATCCAGCAAGGAGGAGGTCTCAACTCAAAATCTGCTCAGGCAGGCAGGGCTGGGTGTTCTGCAGATCAGCTGCCTCGGAGGGAGGCAGAGGCAGTGAGGGTGGGCAGTGGGCACGGCCCTGCTGTGAATGCAGGAGCTCTGAGTTCTAGTCAGTCCTGGCTTGGCCTCTGTTTTACTGGGATACCGTGGGTGAGACCCTTCCGTCTGGGCCTCAGTGCCCCTGGGTGGCCTTGCTGCCCTTGGAGGGCCATTCCAGATAAACGATGCAGAATGTGGTGGATGTGGATGGCTCCTGGCTCTCACTGTGGGATGTTCCTCACTCTCCCTGCCAGCTGGGAGCCAAAGGGCAGTGACACCCATGGAGTAATGGTTAACCAGGCCCAACACCCCCTCTATAGGGAATTACCTATAGACCAGGTCCACCCCAGTGGCCGAGAGTCCACAGGATGCAGTGGACAAAGGTGCTGGGGCTGGGGCTAGGGGCTGCTGCCTTCTTGGGGCTGGGGATCATCCTGGGCCACTTTGCCATCCCCAAGGAAGCCAGCGTCTCAGCCCCCCAGGACCTGGACCTGCAGATCCTGGAGACCGTCATGGGGCAGCTGAGTGCCAGCAGGATTCGGGACAACCTCAGGTGAGAGGTGGGGGTGTCTGCTCCTCCGTTTGCCAGAGGCCCCCTCCCTGATGCTGGCCTTGCCCCTCCCTCTGTCCACCCTGCAGAGAACTCTCCAGGGATCCGCACCTTGCCACCAGCCCTCGGGATGAAGACCTGGTGCAGCTGCTACTGCAGCGCTGGAGGGACCCAGAGTCGGGACTGGACTCGGCCGAGGCCTCCAAGTACGAGGTGCTGCTGTCCTTCCCCAGCCAGGAGCAGCCTAACCTTGTACACGTTGGTGAGGTCCTGCCCAGTCTTGGGAATGCCCCAGAGGGTTCCTAGTCGGGGAGCTGCTGGGCCAGCCATGACACTGCCACCCACCCCCCAACAGTGGGCCCCACTGGGGACATCATCTACTCCTGCCGCCAGACCGAGGAGAATCTGACCGGGGAGCAAGGGGGGCCAGATGTGGTACAACCCTACGCCGCCTATGCTCCCCCTGGAACCCCACAGGTGGGCCCAGAACCCCACTACTGCCCCAGCCCAGCTTCCTTGGTTCCACCCAGGCTTCTCCCACCCTGACCCAGGGAATATGCCTCACTGGGGCAAAGCGCCCCCTCCCAAATTTACTCACCTGTACACTTCACCACTGCTCCTTTCCTCCGTCAGTCATTCAACAAACACTAGTGGCTCTGCTCAAGGCCAGGCCTGTTAACAGGGCACCCAGACATGGAGGAAACCAGGGGTGACTGTCCTTGGGGAGTTTATAAGCTCTGGGCGAGGTGGGGGGACAGAATCCAAATTCTTCCTCCTGCTACCCAGCTTTCCAGCCCCCTGCCCCCTCCTTCGCTGGGCCCAGCTCTAAGGAACACCCCCTCCTGGGACTAGGGCCTCCTCGTCTATGCCAACCGGGGCTCGGAAGAAGACTTTAAGGAGCTACAGACTCAGGGCATCAACCTCGAAGGCACCATCGCCCTGACTCGCTATGGGGGTGTAGGGCGTGGGGCCAAGGTGAGTGGCAGTCCCCCAGTACAGGGGGCCTGGGCCAGGAAGGGGCCGGAGAGTGGACTGAAGAAAGTGTGGGGAAGGGGAAGGAGAAGGGGCAGTGCTGAGTGGGGAGCCAAGCCCCAGGCTGGGGCAGGAAAGGTGAGCTGTTTTCAGGTTGTCCCACCAATGGGTGATGTGGCCTTGGATGCTTCCCTGACCCTCTCTGAGTCTTAGGACACAAAGGGGTTGAGTACAGTTTTCAGGTTTGGTATTCCAGAGTCTAAGTACTTCTGTGAAGTATTTCTGAATATTCAACTGAAATCCTTCCTGTTGGCCCTCTTCCTGCCATTTCTTTTCCATCAAAAATTTGGACTAGGGGCTGGGTGCAGTGGCTAACGCCTGTAATCCTAGCATTTTGGGAAGCCAAGGCGGGCGGATCACCTGAGGTCAGGAGTTTGAGACCAGCCTGGCCAACATGGTGAATCCCCACCTCTACTAAAAATACAAAATTAGCTGGGTGTGGTGGCATATGCCTCCTGTAATCCCAGCTACTCGGGAGGCTCAGGTAGATGAACTACTTGAACCTGGGAGACGGAGATGGTAGTCAGGCGAGATCACGCAACTGTACTCCAGACTGGGCAAAAAAGAGTGAAACTCGGTCTCAAAAAATTTGAACACTCCCCCAGGTTCAAGCAATTCTCCTTCCTCAGCTTCTTGAGTAGCTGGGATTATAGGCATGTGCCACCACACCCAGCTAATTTTGTATTTTTAATAGAGACGGGGTTTCTCCATGTTGGTCAGGCTGGTCTTGAACTCCTGACCTCAGGTGATCTGCCAGCCTTAGTTAGCCTCCCAAAGTACTGGGATTACAGGTATGAGCCATCCTGCCTGGCAAAAAAAAAAAAAAAAAAAAAAAAAAAAAAAAAAAAAAAAAAAAAAATCTGACTATGTATTACATGTCCCTGGTTCAAAAAACTTAGAAAAAATTTTAATATAAAAAGTGTAGAATGAGAGAGGGGAAGGGAAAGTTAATATTTAATGGGGACAGAGTTTCAGATTTGTCGACGTAAAGAGTTCTAGCAGTGAGCGGTGGCGATGGCTGGGCAATATGAACGTACTCAGTGCCACTGACCTGCACACTCCACATGCTAAGTTCATGTTATGTGTATTTTACCACAATTTTTAAAAAAGTGTCCATAATAAGAGCTGGGAAAAGAGAAGGAAAGAAGGGAGGCGGGGAGAAAGAAAGGAAGAAAAGAAAGAGAAAAAAGAAAAAGAAAAAGAAAGGGGAACAGGTAGCGTAGAAATACACAGAATATTAGTTAACCATCACCACCATCCATTTCCAGAACTTTTTCATCATTTCAAACAGAAACTTTATTTAACAATAACTCCCCATGTCCCTGCCCCAGCCCCTACTCTGTTTTCTTTAACCTCAATTCTACTTTCTGTCTCTATGAATTTGCCTATTCTAGGTACCTCGCCTAAGTGGAAGTATAAGATATTTGTCTTTTTGTGTCTGGCTTATTTCACGTAATATAATATCTTCAAGACTCATTGATGTATCAGAACTTTATTTATTTTTAGTCTGAATAATATTCCATTGTTTTTTTTTTTTTTCTGAGACAGAGTCTCGCTTTGTTGCCCAGGCTGGAGTGTAATGGCACGATCTCAGCTCACTGCAATCTCCACTTCCTGGGTTCAGGCGACTCTCATGCCTCAGCCCCCCAAGTAGCTGGGACTACAGGTGTGTGCCACCACACCTGGTACAAAAAAGTAATTTTTGTACTTTTAGTAGAGACAAGGTTTCACCATGTTGGCCAGGCTGGTCTTGACCTCAGGTGATCTGCCTGCCTTGGCCTCCCAAAGTGCTGGGATTACAGGTGTGAGCCACCATGCCCCGCCTCTATTGTATGTTACAGCCCACATTTGGTTTAGCCATTCATCTGTTGATGGACACTTGGGCTGTTTCCTCCTTTTGGCCATTGAGAATAGCGCTGTTGTGGACACAAGTACACAACCGTGTTATTTTATTTTACTTTTTTTGAGACAGAGTCTGGCTCTGTTGCTCAGGCTGGAGTGCAGTGGCCCGATCTCGGCTCACTGCAACCTCTGCCTCCCCAGCTCAAGTGATTCTCCTGCCTCAGCCTCCTGAGTAGCTGGGCTTACAGGCACCTGCCACCACACCCAGCTAATTTTTGTACTTTTAGTAGAGATGGGATTTCACCATGTTGCCCAGTGTGGTCTCAAACTTCTGACCTATCCCTTTGCCTCAGCGTCTCAAAGTGCTGGGATTACAGGTGTGAGCCACCACACCCGGCCCACAACTGTGTTATTTTACACAACTTCATGGTATTCCACTGTAGGATGTCCCTGATATTCAACCAGACTCCACTGATAGGCACTGGCTTGGCTGTGCCGAACCGGCCTTTGCTGTTGCAAGCAGCACTGCCATAAATGACTTGTGCAAACAGTCATTTTTGGACACACCCGGTCCCTGTCCCTCCCTTACACACAACCTCCTCTGCCCGCTGCAGGCTGTGAACGCTGCCAAGCACGGGGTGGCCGGGGTGCTGGTGTACACAGATCCCGCCGACATCAACGACGGGCTGAGCTCATCCAGCGAAACCTTTCCCAACTCCTGGTACCTGCCCCCCTCAGGAGTGGAGCGAGGCTCCTACTACGAGTATTTTGGGGACCCTCTGACTCCCTACCTTCCAGCCATTCCCTCTTCCTTCCGCCTGGACCTTGCCAACGTCTCCGGATTTCCCCCAATTCCTACACAGCCCATTGGCTTCCAGGATGCAAGAGACCTGCTCTGGTGAGTCTGTGCCCTGGGGTGTCCTGCCCAGCACGCAGTGGCCTCCAAACTTCAAGCCCCACACTCACATTTACCCTGAAGGGTCTCTGCCTCCTTCCCAGCAACCTCAGCGGAACTTTGGCCCCAACCACCTGGCAGGGAGCACTGGGCTGCAGCTACAGGTTGGGTCCGGGCTTCCGACCTGACGGAGGCTTCCCAGCAGACAGGTGAGGCGCAGACCCCTTCTCCCTCAGCCGCCCTCTCCCCCAACTCACCTCTCCCTTTCCCTCATGATTGCATTCCCTCTTTCCACTTCAAAGCCGGACCTTCCCCTTTCTTCTCTCTCCCAGACCCTCTCATGACCCCAAAATATCTGTCTTGTCTTTGGGGAAGTTTGTGAAACAGCTGCAGCTGTGTCCTGTGGGGATTCCCCTGCCCCTCCCACCTCATCTCATCTGCACCCCATGACTCCCTCTCTTGAAGATGCCAAGCTCCTTCCCAAGTCAGGGCCTCTGCCACTCCCGACCTGTACCACCCTCCCTCCCTGCAGCACCCCCTGGCCTCCAAGTGCCCTCCCCTCCCAGGCCCCTTCACTCAGCTCTTCCTGTCCTTGTGGTGTGTCTCGCCCGGGAGAGGGAGGCCCCACAAGCACCAGGTACACATCTGTGGCAGTCATCGCCCAGAGCCTAGTCAGGGTCTAAGTACCCAGTAAGCGCCTATCCAGTGAGTGAGCAGGAGGGCGGGCTTCAGCCCTGCTGCCTCTCTTGGTACCTCTGGCCCAATGACCTTGAAGTTGCTTTCCAGCTCTGGGCAGCGTTGTCTCCTGCACTGGGTGGGGGGCAGTGGGCAAGGCCAAGGGTCTTCTCACACCCTTCACCCCCCCCAGTCAGGTGAATGTCAGTGTCCACAACCGTCTGGAGCTGCGGAACTCCTCCAACGTCCTGGGTATCATCCGCGGGGCTGTGGAGCCTGGTGAGCCTTCCTGTCACTCACCGCGCCCCAGGCTCCTGCTCTGCTCTGGGTGCCGCTGCCACTGCACCCTCATCCAGCCCTGCCCTCGCCACCCCTACCCCAGCTGCCCTGCCCACCTCTCCATCTTCTCTGGTTCTCTGCCTTTCTTCCTCTGGCCAGATCGATACGTGCTGTATGGGAACCACCGGGACAGCTGGGTGCACGGGGCTGTGGACCCCAGCAGTGGCACCGCTGTCCTCCTGGAGCTCTCCCGAGTCCTGGGGACCCTGCTGAAGAAGGGTGAGGAGGCCCCCTCCCCTGGCTCAGGGACTCTTGCCCCTGGAGGTCACCTTCCTGTTCCACCTCCTCTCCCTCACCCTGCAGTGTTCTCTCTGCCAAGCCTGAGGGCCCTGGGGGCAGAAATGCATGACACCAGCCTTAAGGAAGACGGGAATTCAGGTCTTCCCATGTTGATTTCTTGTTTCTGCTTTAGTTTTAGTTATTTATTTATTTTTATAGAGATGAGGGTCTCACTATGTTGCCTAGGCTGGTCTTGAACTCCAGGACTCAATGATCCACAGGCGTGAGTTCCCATGTCAGGCCCTCTTTCTTTAGTTTCAAAAACTCGTGGTAAAATATACATAACACAATTCACCAGTTTTACATTTGTAAGTATTTGACTCAGTGGCATTAAGTACATTTCTGAAGTTGTGTGGCCATCACTGCCATCAGCTCCAGAACTTCATCTTCCCTTACATATAACATCCGAGAGTTCTAAGCGTGGCATCTGAACCGATCCCCACTCAGCTGTAATTGCACAGGAACACTCCACTCCTGTCAAGCTCCATCCCCCTCCTTGTATGATATTGAAGTCACAGTTCAGAAAAGAGACTTGAAGCCTGGCCACAGTGGTTCATGCCTGTTAACCCAGCGCTTTGGGAGGCTGAGGTGGGCAGACTGCTTGAGTCCAGGAGTTCAAGACCTACCTGGGCAACATAGTGAGACCTTGTCTCTATAAAAAATAAACATAAGAAAGGCCGGGCGCGGTGGCTCAAGCCTGTATTCCCAGCACTTTGGGAGGCCGAGGCGGGTGGATCACGAGGTCAAGAGATCGAGACCATCCTGGTCAACATGGTGAAACCCCATCTCTACTAAAAACTACAAAAAATTAGCTGGGCATGGTGGCACGTGCCTGTAATCCCAGCTACTCAGGAGGCTGAGGCAGGAGAATTGCCTGAACCCAGGAGGCGGAGGTTGCGGTGAGCCGAGATCGCGCCATTGCACTCCAGCCTGGGTAACAAGAGTGAAACTCCGTCTCAAAAAAATAAATAAATAAAATAAAAAATAAACATAAAAAAATAACCAGGCATGGTGACATGTGCCTGTGGTCCCAGCTACTTCAAAGGCTGTGTAGGAGGAACGCTTGAGCCTGGGAGGTCGAGGCTGCAGTGAGCCGTGATCACGCTCCAATCCAGGATCACACTAGTGATCTGGTCACTAGTTTCCTTTCATCTATAATAATTGTTGAGCTGTTTGTTACTCTTTCATGATCCTTTTGTTTTTATCCTGCTATTATTATGTCAAATACCCCTCAAATTGGGTTTGTCTCTTTTGATTTAGATTATATATTTTTGGCAGAAAAAAGTGTAAACATTTGTTATTGGAAGCATGTAATCACATCACACTGAAAAATTCTTCATTTGCTGGTTGCAGTGGCTCATGCCTATAATCCCAGCACTTTGAGAGGCTGAGGTGGGTGTATTGCTTTAGCTCAGGAGTTCAGGACTGGCTGGGTAACATGGAGAAACCCCATCTCTACCAAAAATGCATAATAAGCCAGGCATGGTGGTATGTGCCTGTGGTCTCAGGGAAGGTTGAGGTGAGAGGATCACTGGACTCCAGGAAGTTGAGGTTGCAGTGAGCCGAGATTGCACCACTGCACTCCAGCCTGGGCCACAGAGTGAGACTCTTTCATCCAGGCTGGATGCAGTGGCGCGATCTCGACTCCCTGCAACCTTTGCCTCCCAGGCTCAAGCGATTCTGCTGCCTGAACCCGGGAGCGGAGCACCCTGCAGCCTGGCTTCTACCTCTAGTCCCTATGCCCGCTGTAGCACAGTGTGGAGCCAAATATCTGATTTGAAACTGGCTCTGCTGCCTACCAGCTGTGTGACCCTGGAAAAGTCATGTAGCTTCTCTGTCTCAGTTTCTTCAACTGTGAAATGGAAATAATAATATTTCCTCCTTCAAGGCATTGTTGTAAGGATTGGTACAACGTGGATAAGGCCCTAACAGGAAACGTTCTTGTGCTATCACCAAGTGAAGGAGGCTGTGGAGTTTGGCCTGGAGGCAGGGGTTGAGGGTGGAGGGTCGGAAGTCTTCCCGGAGCATGCCCACAGAGAGAGGGGCGGCGGATATTCTGGCAAAGGGACCACCTGACCCTTTGGGGAGCTTGGAATTGGGGTCAGTGTTTGGTGCGGGAGCTCCTGGAAGGCCTGGCTGCAGAGTGCCACAACCTGCTGTCCCGAGCTGTCCTAGCTTTTCCAGCTCTCCCGCCCTCCCCACGCCTGCAGCCTTTCTCCTAAGGCACCCCAGGATCAGGAGGACCCCGTTTTCCAACCCTCTATCCCCGCTTCCCAGGCACCTGGCGTCCCCGCAGATCAATCGTGTTTGCGAGCTGGGGGGCTGAGGAGTTTGGGCTCATTGGCTCCACGGAGTTCACAGAAGTGAGTGGCCCTACCCTGTAGAGGATTGAAAGGGGTTCCCAGGGCAGCACGGCGCGGTGCTGACGTCGCCCCTCGCACCCGCAGGAGTTCTTCAACAAGCTGCAGGAGCGCACGGTGGCCTACATCAATGTGGACATCTCGGTGTTTGGTATGGGGGTGGCGGGGCGGGAAAGGGGAGGGGACGGCCTGACGACGGGGTGGATAAATGAAGGTGCTGGGGCCCAAACAGTCTTTCTCCCCTCCTCCCACAGCCAACGCTACCCTCAGGGTACAGGGGACGCCCCCTGTTCAGAGTGTCGTCTTCTCTGCAACCAAAGAGGTGGAAGTGGGCGGGCCCAGCGGGGCTGAGCTAGCGGGGCCGGGACCGCGCGGTGGGCGGCCGTGTGTGGTGGGCGGGGCCGTGTGTGGTGGGCGGGGCCACGTGGGTGGGCGGGGCTGGGAGTGGTACTCTAGATCTGCTGGGGCTGAACTGAGGCTGGGGCGAGCCTCGTAAGGACTGGACCGTGGGTGGGCTGGAGACCGGCGGAGGACACCCCTTGTTGTTGGGGCTAGGGTGGGCCCTGCACTGAGACTAAATTCTCCCTTCTGCCAGATCCGCTCACCAGGCCCTGGCGACCTGAGCATCTACGACAATTGGATCCGGTACTTCAACCGCAGCAGCCCGGTGTACGGCCTGGTCCCCAGGTAAGCCCAGGTTCGGAAGAGGTCCCGGGGCTCGGCGGTCCAGCCCAGTGCTCTTTATCCCGGCCCCGTTCCTTCCCGCAGCCTGGGTTCACTGGGTGCTGGCAGCGACTATGCACCTTTCATTCACTTCCTGGGCATCTCCTCCATGGACCTCGCCTACACCTATGACCGGGTGAGCAGGAACCCCTCTGCCTCTGCCCCGGTACCTTGCTGCACGCACCACACCTCCTCTTCCTGGGGCTGTTCTGGTATAGACTGAACCCTTCTCCTTTACTCGTTGCTACTTCTGCCAAGTTTCTTAACTACACACACACACACGCACACACGCGCACACGCACGCACATATTATATGTAGATGGAGTCTTGCTTTGTTGCCAGGCTGGTTTTGAACTCCTGGGCTCAAGCCATCCTCCCACCTCAGCCTCCCGAAGTGCTGGGATTACAGGCATGAGACTCAACTCCCGGCCTCTGCCAAGTTTTGTAACCTTTTCAAGCATCTCTTTATGCTCATCTATGTTATTTTATCAAATGTAAGATACTACTGATTATAAGATGTGCCATTATGCTATGCAATATTCAGGGGAAAAAAACACCACTTCCAACGAGTTGTAGGATGACATTGCCTGTAAGAAGTAACCTGTTCTAGAGATCTTAAAATGTAAGGGGAAAAAGTTAATTTCAGCATTAATTAACTCAGAGTATGAAGCAGGGATGACCCATACCATTGGTGTGAGCGTTGGGGTAAAGGCAAAACAAGACAAGAGGTGCAGAGTGACCAGCTGGAATCTCCATTTCATGCTCCAAAAAGTGCATTCTGCACTTCACAGCCACAGCGATTCTCAGTAGTAGAGATGGGATTTCAATCTCTTTATCTGACTCCAAAGCCCCAGGTTCTTCTTCCTGTGAAACAAAGCTGGCACCAGACCCACCTCTGCCACTGATTAGCTGTGTGATGTCAGGCAGGTTAACCTCTCTGAGCTTCAGTTTCCTTTTCTGTGGAAATTCTAGAACCCACCTCACCTAGAACCCACCTTGGATGACCAGGATCCAGTGGAGATAATGCCCACATTTTGCAGCTCCCTGGAGGTATACCTTCTCCCACTTCTTATCCCAAGCCTCTCACCTCTGGGCCTTGTTCCCCCAGAGCAAGACTTCAGCCAGGATCTACCCCACCTATCACACAGCCTTTGACACCTTTGACTATGTGGACAAGTTTTTGGACCCAGGTGAGGAGGGGTCTATGGGCATCCTGAGACCGGGACAAGAGAGGCTGAAGACTGAGCCCTGGACTTGTGACCCTTGCTGCAGGCTTCAGCAGCCATCAGGCTGTGGCCCAGACAGCAGGGAGTGTGATTCTCCGGCTCAGTGACAGCTTCTTCCTGCCCCTCAACGTCAGTGACTACAGTGAGACACTCCGCAGCTTCCTGCAGGCAGCCCAGCAAGAACTCGAGGCCCTGCTGGAGCAGCACAGCATCAGCCTGGGTATGCACAGCCCCTGACGCTGAGGCATGGGGAGCCCTGCACCCCCAGGACTAAGCCACTGCTCGTTCCTCACAGGGCCTCTGGTGACTGCAGTGGAGAAGTTTGATGCAGAAGCTGCAGCCTTGGGCGAACACATATCAACACTGCAGAAGGGCAGCCCTGAGTGAGCAAGGGCAGCAGGCAGGGTCTGGGAGGGCAGTGTCCAGGGAAGGATACCAGGCTGGTAGCTGGGCTGCTGGCTCCAGGGTGACCGGCAGGTCCTGCCTCCACCAGCCCCCTGCAGGTCCGGATGCTCAATGACCAGCTGATGCTCTTGGAACGGACCTTCCTGAACCCTCGAGCCTTCCCAGAGGAACGCTACTACAGGTGAGTCTGTCCCAAAGTCCTGGGAGGTGCCTCCAGGTGGGGCCGGGCAAGGCCCCCGACCTGAGAGAGGAGGTGGGTAGTTTCTCTGCCCTTTACAGCACAACCCAGCCCCTGACGTTGGGAATGTGAGGCTCAGGGAGGGGAGGAAAGTTGCTTGAGGGTCCCTCTGGGAGCTGGGACTAGAACCCACATTTCCTTCTCCACTGCCACTGCTGTAAGAGCCGCCTGGCTTTCAGAGACAAATGGAGGGAGATGCTTTTCTGCCTAGCTGCGTACAGGAGCTGAGCCAGTTCCAGACCCAGGCTGCTCTTTCCTGACCCTGATCCTGTCTCATTTCTCCCGCCAGCCATGTGCTCTGGGCGCCTCGCACAGGCTCTGTAGCCACATTCCCGGGCCTATCCAATGCCTGCTCCAGGGCCAGGGACACAGCCCCTGGATCTGAAGCTTGGGCTGAGGTGCAGAGACAGATAAGCATTGTGGTGATGGCCCTAGAGGGTGCAGCAGCCACCCTGAGGCCTGTGGCTGACCTCTGACCCCAGCCCTCCCTTTACCCCCACCCTTTCCTGCCTGCTTTCCTGGATCCTTGTCTTCCTTGGTGCCCGGGGAGGGTACAACCACAGGACCCTCTCAAGCTTCTCAGGCAACAGCTTGGGGTCCCTGAGGGGAGTGGCAAGCCCTGATGCAACTCACCCTCACCCTGGCACAGGTGGCAGAGGGGACAGGGATGGTGGGAATGGCAAAACCACCAACTGCTCTTGCTGGAGGGTGGGTGAAGATGGGATGCACGCCAACTCAGATCACCAAGGCCAACGACCAGTGGAGAAACTGAGGCACGGGGTTCCTTGGGCCTTGCCTAGTCTGTGTTTCTCTCCCTGCATGCTGGGTGTCCTAACTCCCTACAACAGCTCCCCAAATAAATCAAGTCTAGTGATTGGTACCAACAAAACAAGTTCCTTTTATTAGCTGGGAACCACGGAAAAAGAAACCTAAGTGCTCTGACCCAGTCCGGGGCTCTGGGAGATTCATGTTCCCTGCTCAGGTAGGGATCCAGGTCTGTCCATGTCCTCATCTTCTTCCTCTGCCATGACCACCTCCTCCAGGGTGCGTCCTCGAAGTTTGCTCTCCACTAACATCTTGCATGTACCGGCAGGTGGTAGCCCTTCCTCCAAGTAGCGACCCCTCAGGAACACAACTCTCTCCTCTCCGTCCAAGGGCAGCCCGTGGGCCTGGCACAGGTCCTGTGCTTCCTTGAGTCCATCCAGGGCCAGCAGGTTAACCATAAAGCCCAGAGGCAAGGTCTGGCCCTTGGGGGTGCTAAAGGCACGAGCGAGGCGGGCCAGGGCTTCCCGGCGTGCATGGCTCACATGGCACTGCACAGCACAACTTGGCAGGTAGGGCAGGGTCTGGAGTAGGCGGAACAGGCGGGCAGCATTGCCCTCTCGGAAGGCAGCATCTACTGCCAAGGCCCTGCGGAGGGGCGGGCAGGTACGCAGAGCAGCAGGTAGCTGTAGAACCTCGCGCAGGGCCTCCACCGAGCCTGTGAGGGTGGGAAGCCAGAATCAGGATGCCAGGTCCTTACAGGATCAGGACCATCTCCCTCCCAAATGCTCATTCTTCCTTGCCACGCCCACCTCCTCTGGCCCAAGCTCAGCTCTGGACCTCCCTCCCACCTACCTCCTCAACCACGCCTCTTCTCAAGGCCTAGCCCACCTTCCCTCTTCCCTCTAAGGTCCAGCCATTGGCTCCTTCCCTGACCCATATTTGAACGAGTTGCCTCAGGCTCTGGACCTCCTGCAGTCCGGATCCTTACTTACAACACTGAAGTAGCCAGGGTATACGGCTTTGGGAAGCTGGCCCAGATAATTTAATGACTCGTCTGAGAGTGGTGACCCCAATCCAGGTTTTCTGACTTGGATTTCCCACTACCCTGGCTTTCCTGCGCCCACAGTTTTGGAAGCCAATTCTGCCTCACCTTCCCCTGACCACCTGGGAAGGCCACTTCTTCAGGAAACTATGCTCCTACTTCCCTTCCAGAAGAGTTTCAGGCACTGGAACTTTGGGCCAGTTAACTGGGGCTTCTGAATAATTAGTAGGTTGTGAAATCAACAGCATTTTGTTACAACTGTATAGAATAGTCTTTTTTTTTTTTTGAGACCACTTGCTCTGTCACCTGGGCTGAAGTATAGTGGGTCACTGCAACCTCCACCACCTCCCAGGTTCATGTGCCACATGCCCAAATAATTTCTGCATTTTTAGTAGAGAGGGCCCGGCCAGAACAGAGCTTATTAGAGAGCTGGGCACAGTGGCTCATGCCTGTAATCCTAGCACTCTGGGGGACCAAGGTGGTAGGATCAGTTTAGCCCAGGAGTTTAAGATCATCCTAGTTAACATGGCAAGACTCCAATCTCTATATAAAAATAAATTTTAAAAAATTAAAAGAGAGGCCGGGCGCGGTGGCTCAAGCCTGTAATCCCTGCACTTTGGGAGGCCGAGGCGGGTGGATCACGAGGTCAAGAGATCGAGACCATCCTGGTCAACATGGTGAAACCCCGTCTCTACTAAAAATACAAAAAATTAGCTGGGCATGGTGGTGCGTGCCTGTAATCCCAGCTACTCAGGAGGCTGAGGTAGGAGAATTGCCTGAACCCAGGAGGCGGAGGTTGCGGTGAGCCGAGATGGCGCCATTGCACTCCAGCCTGGGTAACAAGAGCAAAACTCCGTCTCAAAAAAAAAGCAGACAACAAAAAAAAAATTAAAAGAAAATCATGGTCCTACCTCTGCTACTGTTAACCAGTGCTGTGTCAAGAGGCAAGTCACCACCCTGGGCTTCGGTTTCTTCCCCCACTAGACCAGGGATAATTACTATGTCTTTTTCACAGTGTGAACAAAGATAAACCATTAACTGGGCATAATGGCAGGCACCCAGATACTTGGGAAGGTGGGGCTGGAGAATCACTTGAGCCCAGGAACTCGAGTGGCAACAAGCGAGACCCCATCTCTACAAAAAATTTTTTTTAAGTTAGCCAGGTTGTGCACATCTGTGGTGCCAGCTGCTCAGAAGGCGATGAGGGAGGAGGATCCTTTAAGCCCAGAAGGTTGAGGCTGCAGTAAGCTATGATCAAGCCAGCCTGGGCAACAAAGTGAGACCCTTTCTCAAAAAACACCAACAGGCTGGGTGTGGTGGCTCATGCTTATAATCCCAGAATTTTGGGAGGCAGAGGTGAGTGGATCATTTGAGGTCAGGAGTTTGAGACCAGCCTGGCCAACATGGTGAAACCCTATCTCTACTAAAAATACAAAAATTAGTCTGGCACGGTGGCGTGCACCTGTAGTCGCAGCTCCTCGGGAGGCTGAGGCAGGAGAGTCGCCTGAACCCAAGAGGCGGAGGTTGCAGTGAGCCAAGATCATGCCACTGTACTCCAGCCTGTATGACAGAGCAACAATTTGTCTAAAAAAAAAAAAAAAAAGTTAAAAATCACGATCACGATTTAGGCCAACCCTCCCATTCCATCCTCGCCCCCTCCACTTTTATTCCTGAGGCAACTAAGACTCAGAGACGGGCCCGAGGTCCTACGTCGGGGCTGGGTGGATCTTGTGCTGTCCTGGGGGGGAGCTAATGGTGAGATGTTAAAGCTAATCCTTCCTTTCCCTACCCCCACTGTCATGGAGGGCTCCTGTCCCCACGCTCTGCCCAGCTGCTGGGACCCCGACTCACCCAGGTTATAGAGCAGAAAGAGGCCCTGGAAGGCGGGCTGGCGGGGGTGCGGTCCGGCGCCCCGAGCGTAGCAGCGCCGCAGCGAGCCAAAACCCTCCTGCACCTGGGCCTGCAGCAGCACCGGGTCCGCGGGTCCCCGCGCCGCGTCGGGTCCGAGCCGCGCCACCACGGCCAGCAGCGTGGCCAGCGCCGCCTCGAGCACCACTGCTGCCTCGGCGTCGCCCGCGTCCTGCAGGGCCAGGTCCAGGCGCACGGCTCGCAAGCGGTCCACCACGAAGCTGGCCACCTCTGCGCGGGCGGCGTCTGCGCTCTCCGCCACCTCACCGGCCAGGTAGCGCACGGTGGCCAGCAGCACAGAGGGCGGACGCAACTGGCTGGGCGGGGGCCGGGGCTTGCCGGCGGCTGGTCGGCTGTACTCCTTCACCGCGCGCTGCGGGTCGGCGCGCGGCGGGTCCTGGCGACACCCCGGCGCCACCTCCAATCGGTGCAGGCGGCGCTCCCTTTCGCGCTGGGCGCGCTCGGCTGCCGGACACATGTCCGGGCAGGTGCCCACGGGCAGCTCACAGCCGGGCATGAGGAGGCTGCGAGGAGACGGTGGGGGCTCAGCATCTCGGGGACAGCGGTGCCGCGGAAGGGCACGAGAGGCCGGCTGGCTATGGGGAGCAACGCATTGGGGCTGAACCTGGCTGGGCCCGCCTGCCCGCCATGATCTCCGGCCTCCTGGTCGCCCGTCGGGCCATCGCCGTCCGCCCCTGCCCACCTCCGTCCTCTCACCCGGTCCCGTCGAATCGGCCTCCCCAGATGCACTGCGCTGTAGTCCTGCAACGCCCCTGTGGTTCCTGCGCGGCAAAAAGTCCCCATCAAGCGCCAAGCTCAGCTTTGCGCGCTCCCCTTGGATTTTTTAAGAGTGTAGTTCGGGCCGCTCCCATGATACACCGGTGTAATCCCTGCCGCAACCAATCGCTTTGTGGTGAGGCGAGGCGGGGGCGGGGCGGAACCGAGGCCACGCCCCCCAGTCCTGCCGGGCTCCAGCCGGCTGAGCAATCGGTGTTTGGCTTTGGGGGCCTCTGAGACAGGTACCCCCGCTTTGGGTTCCTCTCCTCCATCCCTTCCACCCTATAAAACGGCTCCATCCATTGTCATTTTCTGTTTCCCTGGAGACTATGCTCCCTATTTTCTAGCTCAGGGATCAGCAAATGTATTCTACAAAGGGCCGCGTTTTGGGATTTGCAGGCGGCAAAGACAACTCTGCAACTGTTCAGTTGCCAGTGTAGCGCGAACGCAGCCATCACAATACTAAATGAATCAGCCTGTTTGTGTTCCAACAAGTTTTATTAATAGACTCTTAAATGTCATATAATTTTCACCTGTCACAGAGTATTAGATTTTTTTAATTAAAAAAAAAATGTAAAAACCACTGTAGTTTACAGGCCTTACATTAAAAAGGAGGTGGGCCGGATCTGTCTGCAGGTGGGAGTTTGCAGACCCGTTCTAGAAGGGTAAGCTAATGGTTTAATGACCATAGCTGCTGCTCACACATCAAGACAGACAGGCAGGGGCCAGGCACGGTGACTCATGCCTGTAACCTCAGGACTTTGGGAGGCCGAGGCAGGCGGATCATTTGAGGTTAGGAGTTCCAGAGCAGCCTGGCCACATGGTGAAATCCCGTCTCTACTAAAAATACAAAATATTAGCTGGGCGTGGTGGCGAGTGCCTACAATCCCAGCTACTGGGGAGGCTGAGACAGGAGAATCGCTTAAACCTGGGAGGCAAAGGTTGCAGTAAGCTGTGATCACATCACTGCACTCCAGCCTGGGTGACAGAGTGAGACTCCATCTCAAAAAAAAAAAGAGACAGGGTCAGAAGTGTGAGTCCTTGATTCCAAGGTGGTAGGTGTAGTTAGAGCTGAGATTCATTATTTTTCTCATTCTTGGTCCAGTTATCTTCAGAAATGGCCCCTGGGGTTATAAGACCAGGAGGTAGGGCCAGGCCCTGGGGAGAGGACAAGGGGCTGGCAGTGCTGGAGCGAGAGTCCCAGAGAAGGACCCACTCCCCATCAGGGTGGGAGCTGGGGCAGGTGCAGGTGCAGAATCTCCTCTGCCCGCTTCAGGTACTCGGCTGCCTTCCTCTTCACACCTTCCTGGCGGGCAGGCGATGGGTCACCTGTGGAGAGACTGCTCAGCTGAGGCACCTGGGCACCACTGGTCTAGTCGGAACCCCTAGTCTGGTCCTTTACAATTCACAGAGCATCACCATGTGCTCTTCCCACCTGCCAGGGGCCCAGCATCCATTCTCCCCATTCCACAAATAAGAAACCTAAGGGCACAAGAGGTTAAAAGAAGAAACAGAAATAAAACTCTGCCTAAGGTTCCACAGCTGGTCAGTGAGGAGCAAGAGCTCCTGATTCTTGAAGTGCTTGTTTTTTGCTCCCTTCCTCACTGCCCCATCTGGGACCCAGGTCTGACCTTCCACCCTCAGTCCCTACTCACTGGGCACTCCCTGGAGTAAGACGTGCACACCGTCTCGGTAGCCCTGGAGCGCGGAAGCGTAGGCGCCTGCCTTCTCATCACGGAGGGCCTGGGTGATGAGCTCTGTGGCCTGGCTTAGATAGGCAGGGGTGGGCCCTCCTTCCCCGTCCTCTTCCTCCTCCTGCCCTCCTGGTTCCCAGGGTTCCTGGTCCAGCCTTCCCGACTCCACCTCCATCGTTGCCAGCTCAGCCACGTGGGTGGGGCTGGGGGTTGCACCTTCTGCAATCAGAGAGGACTCAGACCAGACAAGCCCTTCCTTTCCCAAGGCCCTCTGCCCAACTCCCAGACCTCTCTTGTCCATCAGGGTATCAGCTTGTCCCCAGTGGAGGGGACCAATGCCAGAGCAATCCAGACATCGCCTGTGGATCAAAAACTAGCCATGATCTATTTGATTGATAGGGTTCATGTGCTTTTGTGAAAATAGCCTTACCTTCCTTTTTTTTTTTTTTTTTTTTTTTGAGACAGAGTTTCATTCTTGTTGCCCAGGCTGGAATGCAATGGCCTGATCTCGGCTCACCGCAACCTCCCATATGCTGAGTGAATGTCTTACAGGAGCTGTCTGTGAAGGGCCTTGAAAAGATCCTGGCTGGACACAGTGGCTCATGCCTATAATCCAGCACTTTGGGAGACTGAGGTGGGAGGACTACTTGAACCCAGGAGTTTGAGACCAGCCTGGGCAACACAGTGAGCTCTCGTCTCTACAAAAATTAAAAAACTTAGCTGGGCATGATGGTGAATGCCTGTGGCTCTGTCCTAGCTATTCAGGAGGCTGAGGTGGGAGGATCACTTGAGCCTCGGAGGTAGAGACTGCAATGACCTGTGATTGCACCACTGCTCTCCAGCCTGGTGACAGAGCAAGACCCTGTCTCAAAAAAAAAAAAAAAAAAAAGAGAAAATAGTAAAGCTCCTGCCCAGCAGGGCCTCAGCTGGCAGAAGGGCAGGGCACCTGGATGCCTGCCACCCAGAGGCCAGGCACAACAGCCCCGGGACACCAATGCTGTCTTTCCCTCCCATTTCTTTGTCCCACTCCCCAATACTGGAGAGGCAGGAGCAGGGAAGGGAGGAAGTAGAACAGGAAAAGTAAAGAGCCAGGCGCCATGGCTCACACCTGTAATCTCAGCACTCTGGGAGGCTGAGGCAGGTGGATCACTTGAGGGCAGGAGTTCAAGACCAGCCTGACCAACATGGGAAGACCCTATCTCTACTAAAAATACAAAAATCAGCCAGGTGGCACACGTCTATAGTTCCAGCTACTCAGGAGGCTGAGGCAGGAGAATTGCTTGAATTCAGCAGGCGGAGGTTGGAGTGAGGTGACATCGTGCCACTGCACTCCAGCCTGGGCAATCCAAAGCAAGACTCGATCTCAAAAAAAAAAAAAAAAAAAAAAAGCTAGGCACAGTGGCTCACACCTGTAATCCCAACACCCTGGGTGGCCGAGGCGGGTGGATCACCTGAGGTTGGGAGTTGGAGACCAGCCTAACCAACAAGGAGAAACCTCGTCTCTACTAAAACTGCAAAATTAGCTGGGCGTGGTGGCGCATGCCTGTAATCCCAGCTACTTAGGAGGCTGAGGCAGCAGAATCGCTTGAACCAAGGAGGCGGAGGTTGCTGTGAGTGATCCTGCCATTGAATGCCAGCCTGGGCAACAAGAACAAAACTCTGTTTCAAAAAAAAAAAAGTGAAAGGAGATTCCTCAGTGCCACAGGTCACTGGTCAGGCTTGAGCCGGGTGGAGTGGGGAGGCTGAGACCGGGAGACTGCGGTCCTAATTCAGACAGGACTAGACTTTTTTTTTATTTTTCTGAGACGGAATCTCACTCTGTCGCCCAGGTTGGAGTGCTGTGGTGCGATCTCGGCTCACTGCAACCTGCGCCTCCTGGGTTCAAATGATTTTCCTGTCTCAGCCTCCCGAGTAGCTGGGACTACAGGCATGCGCCACTACGTCCGACTAATTTTTTGTATTTTTAGTAGTGATGGGGTTTCACTCTTGACCTTGTGATCCACCCAACTCGGACTCCCTAGGTGCTGGGATTACAGGCATGAACCACTGCGCCCCGCCAGGACTAGACTTTTTCTTGCCTGAGGGAGAGAGCTCACTTGCCTTAAACTGACCAGAAAGCCACGGGTCTGTCTGCCCAGGAGGTCACCAAAGGGTGAAGAAGGGACACCAACAAAACAGGTTTAAAACCGCTAAGGAATCAAAATGGAAATTCTCCCATGATTATCCCGGAGTGAGATCAGCCACTCCACACCATGCCAGCAGTGACGTCATAAACTTGGCAATTTTTTTCTTTTCCTTATATTTTTAAAATGGTTTTGCTTTGTTGGTTTCTTTTTGAGATGGAGTCTTGCTCTGCTGCCCAGGCTGGAGTGCAATGGCATTATGTCGGCTCACTGCAACAGCCCCACCTCCCCAGTTCAAGTGATTCTCCTGTCTCAGCCTCCCTTGTAGCTGGACTACAGGCATGCGCCACCATGCCTGGCCTTATGTAAGTTTTTAATTTTAATTTTTGTATTTATTTATCTTTCTGAGACAGAGTCTTGCTCTGTCACCAGGCTGGAGTACAGTGGCACAATCTCGGCTCACTGCAACCTCCACCTCCCAGATTCAAGCGATTCTCCTGCCTCAGCCTCCCAAGTAGCTGGGATTACAGGCGCGTGCCAGCACGTCCACGTAATTTTTGTATTTTTAGTAGAGACAGGTTTCACCATGTTGGCCAGGATGGTCTCAATGTCTTGACCTCATGATCTGCCTGCCTTGGCTTCCCAAAGTGCTGGAGTTACAGGTGTGAGCCACCATGCCTGGCCTTATATAAGTTTTTAATTCTGAGAATAACAGACTGGGTGCCGTGGCTCATGCCCATCATTCCAGCGCTTTAGGAGGCTGAGCCGGGCAGACCACTTGAGGTCAGGAGTTCAAGACCAGCCTCACCACATGGTGAAACCTCTTCTCTACTAAAAATACAAAAATTAGTCAGGCACTGTGGCGTGCGCCTGTAGTCCCAGCTACTCGGGAGGCTGAGGCAGAAGAATGGCTTGAACCCAAGAGGTTGCAGTGAGCAGAGATTGCGTCACTGAGCTCCAGACTGGGTGACAGGGTGAGATTCCATCTCAAAAAAAAGAATAACAGACATGAGGTCTCATTGTATTGCCCAGGCTGATCTTGAATTCCTGGGCTTAAGCGATCTTCCTGCCTCAGCCTCCCAAAGTGTTGAGATTACAGGTGTAAGTCACTGTGCCAGGCCTTGCCAAATCTTAGAATGAAAAACTCGTGTCTCAGAACTTGGGACTGTCAAGTCCCAGGATCTCAGAGCAAGAAGGTGCCCAGGACCCTGACCTCCATCGGGGGGGCCCTTCTATCTCTGGCGTCCCCAAATGCCAGTGGCTCCAGGCCCCCAGAGGCGTTTCCCTTTTTGGCTTCTCTTTGAGCTCAGACCTCACCCCCATTGACCAGCAGGCCTCTTGCCTTCAAGATCTGTAGCCAGACCCTGAAATCCCACCATGAGCTTTCAGGGAAGGAACTAAAATGTCCCAGGGCAGTGTGACCTGGATCTTTCTAAAGCCTTCTCAGTGAGATGGCCCCAACGTGGGAAGTGCACCTTTTCCTTCCTCGTGGCTACTCGCTGCACAGGGGCATCCAGCATACCACGCACGAGCCCTGGCACAGGGCTTCTAATTCTCAATGATGCTGCTATTGGCCCGAAGGGCAGCATTGC